CAACCCAAAGCATACCCTAAAAACACCCAATTTTTCTGTAAACTTTGGAGTAATTCAAGAGGTACAGCTCTATTGAATATGGATACAACCTAAAAAGGAAAGTAATAACATTATACTAACATAGTTGGCCTAAAAGCAGCCACCAATTAAGAAAGTGTTAAAGCTCAACCTTTCAAACTATAGTAATCCCAACATTAACCTAACTCCCTAATCTAGTATTGGGTTATTCTATTAACTAATAGAAGCGATAATGTTAGTATGAGTAACAAGAAATGATTCTCCATGCACAAGCTTATATCAGAACGGATGCCTACTGTTAACGATACTATAACCTTAATCCCCCTATAAATCCATTATTAATAACATCGTTAACCCAACACAGGAGTGCAACTCGGAAAGATTAAAAGAGAAAGAAGGAACTCGGCAAACACGAACTCCGCCTGTTTACCAAAAACATCACCTCTAGCATTACTAGTATTAGAGGCACTGCCTGCCCAGTGACACTAGTTAAACGGCCGCGGTACTCTGACCGTGCAAAGGTAGCATAATCATTTGTTCTTTAATTGAGGACTAGTATGAATGGCAAGACGAGAGTTCAACTGTCTCCTTTCTCCAATCAGTGAAATTGACCTTCCTGTGAAGAGGCAGGAATAATTCTATAAGACGAGAAGACCCTATGGAGCTTTAATTTACTTACCCACAAGTCTATAAATGATCCAACTGATATACCCCAAGACTTCCTGTGTAAGAAATTTCGGTTGGGGTGACCTCGGAGCATAAAAAACTACTATGATATTACCAATCTAAGTTTATATATCTAATTGACCCAATTAATTGATCAACGGAACAAGTTACCCTAGGGATAACAGCGCAATCCTATTCTAGAGTCCATATCGACAATAGGGTTTACGACCTCGATGTTGGATCAGGACACCCCAATGGTGCAGAAGCTATTAAAGGTTCGTTTGTTCAACGATATATAAATATAAAAAATTGTTTTTTGCTTTATGACAAAGAACATGGCAAAATTTGTTTTAGCACTTTCCCTATAACACAGTGCGAAAGTAATACAGACTGTATCACAATAAGCAAAGCATAAGATAAAAAAAAATCAAAAGTTGTGTTGCATTTGGGAAATCTGCTGTCAAGAACCTTTCTGCAGTGCAAAAGAGCAATGATGTCCATTTAAAGACTAAGATGCACCTGATTCAGATATTTTCCATTGCTTCCTATGCATCTGAAAGTTGGACAATCAATAAGGAAAATGGAAGATGAATTGATGCCTTTGAATTGTGATGTTGCCAGAGTACTGGGTATCCATGAACTACCAAAAGAAGAAACAAATCTATCTTAAAGGAAGTGAAAATAAGTGCTATTTACGTTGGGCATATTTGCAGGAGGAACCAGCCTTTAGAAAGAAACATTATGCTGGCTGGGAAAGTTTGAGGGTCAGTAAAAGAGAGGAAGACCCTCAATGAGATGGATCATCACAATGACTGCCACAATGGACGTGAGCACAACAGAGGGCATGAGGATGGTGCAGGACAGAGTATAGTTTGGATTTCTTGTCCACATTGCCATTATGAATCGTAGTTGACTTGATGGCACCTAACACCACTACCATTTTTCAAAAAAACTAGACAAATGACCTAGGGATTTATTCTTGGTAAAAATTGCCATTAGCAGGAGAAAACACAAATATGAAGCACATCAGGGCTAAGACCAACTCGGTCCATTATCAAGTATATTTGTCCTTTAACACAAAAGTGGCAGAGTGTAGTGCAGTAGAATTATACACTGCTAAGAGATTAAGTTTATATTATGATTATTTCAGTCAAGTCTTTGAAAAAGTTGAGCTGGTATATCTTCTCATTCCAAAGCTCAAGTAATGAGAATGCCATGTATGAGGAAATCCTATAACCAAAATTGCAGCTAAGGTTCCTGGAAGCCTGACTTCTGTATCCAGATACATACCCATCATATCTTTGCAGCCCCTCAGGATTTTATAGGAAAGGTTTTGTTTTGTTTTTTACAGACTTTGTCATCTTTTATTGGACAGAGTTCTCAATCTAGGAGACAAGGCTGTTGAAGAAGGGAAGGGCGCCAGACCTAAGGCACCCGGCCAGGAATGCAGACGGCGCCTCTTAGTGGTACTTCTGTAACCGTTCATGTTTGAGCTCCTTGTAAGAAAGGCAGTAGCTGAACACCACGTAAGCTGTCAGCACCATGGACAGCCCAGCGATGCCCCCCCTTCTTCACGTTGACGTAGTATCGGTAGTAGCCTCGCTGGAACGCTCCTGCGATGCCACTCGGGGTGAAGTCCCACATCAGTGTCCAGCTGGGCAGCTCCCCCAGTTTTACATCCATGAGCTTCCTCTCCTTCAGTGGTACGACGGAGGCCATCTTGGAGTCCTGGGTGTCTGCCGGGTTTTGTGTTATTTATAATGCATTCAAAATGGATTCGGTCATCAGTTTAGCCATTTTCTAGTATATGACCAAGAAGCTCTATTAAATTATTCATTTCCTTTTAATAATAGGTATAAGACAAAGATTGCTGTGAGAATGAAATGTCATTTCTCTCTGCATCTTGTAGAACTAAGTGGAAATGCCCATAGGGCTTACCTACAAGGCTGGACTCCTTAGAGGTACAGGCGGCCATATCTTTCTCTTACACAGTGGCTGATGGATTCAAATACCTGACCTTTTGGTTACCAGTTAAATTCTTCAACCATTATGCCACCAGGGCACCTTTGACTTCATATATAATGTGTGAAATATTACCTGTTATTTAATACTAACATCTTTATTTTTAAAATACAAAGAACAGCCAACAAATTAAAACGTCTTATTTCTGGGTGGTACATATATAAATGTTTATACTTTTCTGTATTTCTATGATTTTAAAATAAAATAAAAATATTGATCCTATCAACTTTTAGGGAGCTCTGGTGGCCTACTGGCAAGAAGCTGCACTGCAATTCCAAAGGCACATGGTTTGGATCCACCAGATGCTTCACTGGAAAGGAAGGGCAATCTCCTCCTGTGCCAGTCTGATCTGACTCAGTGGTACACACAAGGAAAAAAAATTGATCCTATTAACTTTTCATACTCAGTCAAAGATGTAGGTGGGCATTATTTTATCAGATGGACTATACATCATCACAGCAAAGTCCTTGGAATAATGGTTACAGCAAGAAGCAAATACAGGAAATCAGAAATAGAAGAAATCTCTGGAATTCTAAGCCTTTTATTTTCCAGACTTGGAAACCACTTGAGTAGCTATTCAAAATTACATGCAGCTAAGTAATGCCAACACCAGCAAAAGTACCCTAGACCTGATTCTTTTTTTTTTTTTTTCTAGACCTGATTCTTGAAGTGGTTTTCAATAAACGCTCCACATTTGAAAGCTGATTTTATTTTGTGTTTCATTTCTAAGTCCAGTTTTATGGCTCAACTTTACATTGAGAATTCAACTTATTCTTTCCATTCAGCTAAAAACTTCTGTCAGACATTGGCAGACATGTCTAGGTACACTGACTTCTAAGAACAAAAAGTTGGAAATTTAACAGTCAGTTACGGTGCTTAAAAGTTCTTTCCATCTGATGTGAATCCAAAAACTATGAAAAGCACAAGCTAGTTATTATTTTTATTCACTAAGTATATACAGCATGCAGAAAGTTAAGCATTTCTTCAACTTGAAGAAAGGAATCACTGTTATAATGAAAACATTTCTAGACAAGTTTTTCTTTGGAAAATCAATCAGTCTTGTACATAGAAAACTATATACTTAAATGTTGGGATTACATACTAAATATATCAGTTTAAAAATTATGCTTAAAATGAATTTTCATTTTAAAAAAGAGATTTAAGGGCACCATTCAAAAGGATAATAATTTGGTGTTTTATGTTATAACATTCTATTTTCAGACAAATCAGTCTTCTAGCCAAAGGATTGGGAAATTACCAATCAGCACAGCACCCAAAACAGCTTAAAACAACAAATACAACTCCTGAGTATAGTTTTCCCTGGCTACATATTTAACAACACTAATGATATCAAACAAGTATAATATCGAAAGAAAACATCAAGGTTTAATATCTTACAAAATATGTACAGAACTTGAACATTTCTGAAAGATAGCCTTCACATCATAACTGAATTATAAATGTAATCAGATACTCAGTTATAGTGAAAAGGTCTAATGGGTTAAAAAAAATGTAAACCATAAAAGATAAAAAGTTATTTTAAAATACACAACAAAATTCTAAAGACTAAGCTTAAATTTTGATTTTTAAAAAGTGTGTTATTTACAATTTAAAAATTTCATGTTTGTTCCTGTTACATAATTTTTATCATTAGGACAAAATAAGAGAAGAAAAAGCTCTTCTTTCCCACTTCTACAGACAGGTGGTGAGACTCGTAGAATACAGTCCACCTAAAATATCAAAGGCCAACAACTTTTATTAGTGGAGTCATAAAACAGACTTCACCAAACTGTATCCTAGTAAGTCAGTGGTTTCACTTGGAGACGTCAATGCAGGGACCCAGTTTCCTTTTCTGAAAGGGAAGCATCTAACTAGCTGTTATCTGAAGAGTAGTTGGTAGAGTTAAATGAGATCAATCACCTATGTGAATTCACTTACATGTTGTTATTAATATTAAGACATGCTCTCAGGGTGTTCAAGTCCACAGCATGGTCCACAACTGGACCTTCCTTTCAGATTTATAAACCTCAAAAAGTAGTTCTTAAAACAAGAACCAATGTTTAAAACATAAAATCCTTAACTGGAGTGCTCAGCTCAGTTGATTTTCAAAATATATTTATAAAATGCTTCAATACTGATGATGATGTAGTGATTATATTAAAGCTAACAAAACTTTGCAATGATCACAAAGGCTTGTCCTCTCAGATTGCGGTCCAGTCATTTGCCTCATGAGAACACTGTGGAGACATCAGACAGATATTCCTTAATCTTTCAACCTGGGTAACATCTTCCTTCTATGTTTTCCTTTTATCGTAATCTCCAACCATCTTCTTGATGTGTGACAATTTGCTCTTCAACTCTTTGCAATAATTCCTCTTAGTTTTGTAATCTGAGGACTAAGAAAGAAAAAAAATCAGCTAGATTCAATAAAATAAAAATGAGTGGAATGTTGGCTGTTGGAAAGATAGAGGTAAAAGGATTATTATTTAATCACAAAGAGCTAGTGGGAGTGGTAACTGAGGCAACATAAAATGTTTACAAACAAAAAGTTATGTAAGTAAATAAAAACTGATGATATTAAATGTTGACAAGAATTTAGAGCAAAAGCAATATGCACTATTTGGTGGGGCTGAAAGTTAATACAACTAAATGACAGTATATATAAAGCCCAAAGATTCTACAATTTCATTCACAGGGGTGTGTGTGTACGTGTACAGGAAAAACATATAAAAAATGTTTGTAGTTACATTACTTATGAACTCATAGTAGAATGGATTAATAAACTGTATTAGAAAACCAAAAAACAAAAACCCAACACAAAACAACCAACTAGAACCATAGCTAATGCCTCAATATAAACATACTTAAAAAAGCATATTGTGGGTCTGCCCGACCTTCAGCAAGGCCTGCACCATCATGTTTTCTCAGACAAACCTCGTTGTCTCGGCCTGGGCTGTGCAGCCACAATGGACCTAAGTTCAAAATATGGCAACTTTGAAAGATATTACCAGGCGACTGAAGTCAATCAAAAACATTCAGAAAATTACCAAGTCTATGAAAATGGTAGCAGCAGCAAAATATGCCCGAGCAGAGAGGGAGCTGAAACTAGCTCGAGTATATGGAGTCGGACCTCTAGCGCTCTATGAGAAAGCTGATATTAAGGTTCCTGAAAACAAGAAGAGACACCTCATTATTGGTGTATCCTCAGATCGAGGGCTCTGTGGTGCTATTCATTCCTCGATTGCAAAACAGATAAAAAGTGAGGTGGCCGAGCTTACAGCAGCTGGAAAAGAAGTTATGAATGTTGGGACTGGAGATAAAATCAGGGGCATCTTGCATAGGACTCATTCGGACCAATTTCTGGTAACATTTAAAGAGGTGGGAAGGAAGCCTCCTACTTTTGGAGATGCATCAGTTATTGCTCTTGAATTGCTGAACTCTGGCTATGAATTTGATGAAGGATCTATCATCTTTAATCGATTCAGGTCTGTCATCTCCTATAAGACTGATGAAAAGCCCATATTTTCCCGTAATACAATTCCAAGTGCTGAAAGCATGAGTATCTATGATGATACTGATGCTGATGTGCTACGAAATTACCAAGAATACAGTCTGGCAAACATCATCTACTACTCTCTGAAGGAGTCCACCACTAGTGAACAAAGTGCCAGGATGACAGCTATGGACAATGCCAGCAAGAATGCCTCTGAGATGACCGACAAACTGACTTTGACATTCAACCGTACCCGCCAAGCTGTCATCACAAAGGAGTTGACTGAAATCATCTCTGGTGCTGCAGCTCTGGATTAATGAAAATCAAGTGTCATCCTCAGACAAGAGGTAAAGAAGAAAAGTTAAGCCAGCTCATTTCATTATGCTTAATGCTGTCCTTGTCAGAAAGATTGTTGGTCCATTGTTCAAATTACTAAAGACAGCAAGATATTTGTAAATTATCTTACAATAAATGATTTTAAAATTTAAAAAAAAAAAAAGCAAGCATATTGTGGAAAGAAGCCACTCAAAATATACATGCCACATGATACTATTTATACAAAATTAAAAATTCTCAAACACAATCTATGATGCTGAAAGCCAGGATACACAGACAAACTCTGAAAACATGCTTAGTGAGCCAGAAAGGGACAATGTTGTATAGTTTGAATGACATGAAATACTAATAGGCAAATGCATAGAGCCCAAGTTATTAGTATCAACAGAGGGAAAAATCACTGCTGAGGGCCAATGCGTTGGTGTTAAAGATGTTAAAAACATAAGAAAAACAGTAACAATGGCATAACAAGATGGAGGCAACTAATGCCACTGTTGTACATTTAAAAATGTTGAAACGACAAATGCTTTGGTTTATGGGTTTTGTGTTGGGGTTTTTTTTTTTGTTTTGTTTTGTTTTGTTTTGTTTCTTTTTTATCGTGGTGAATGGTTTTGCAATTGGCGCCTGGTCATTTTGTCACTGTTTACTGTGCCTTGTGGTGATATATGTGTTTTTATCACACACACATGATTCAAGACAGTGGTTGCTCTGAGCTGTGGTGGAGGAGAAATGCTAAAAAAAAAAAATCATATTTTTATCTCTGTGGCAGTCTCATAGATGTTTGGTCTTTTTATGAAATTTTATCAAGCTGTACACTTTTGTGTGTACTTTTTTTGGTATGTTTCTAATTTAAAAATAGTTTTTAAGAAGCAGTATTGGCTGTACCTGGAAACCACAGAAATGAAATTTCCAACTTGTCCATTACAGTTTTATCTCACAATTACAGGCCTTTTGTGTATAATCAAGGTACAGAAAGGTATTCATAGACATTCTAAAGGTCAAATAAAAGCATACAATAGAAAAGCTCTCCATACAAGAACCCTACAATTCAAATACTTACTCTTTTAACTTGCTTCAGTCTGTTATATTCATCAGCAGCAGCCTGTTAATGAGAAACAAGGGGTAAAGGCTCAGTGAGTATACTTCCCATTTTAAGAAAAACATTCCTGATTAAAAAAAAAAATGAAAGAGAATGAAAATAGTAAGTTTTAAGGCTGGAAGGTATGAAGGAATATGACATCCAGTTTCCTGCGTTCCATTCACAGGAGCAGAGAGCTCTACTGTATTGTGTTCCCTCTCTCTCCAGGCACATCCACAGGACACTTATTTAAACACAGCTCAGGTCAAGTTACGGACCTCTGCTTAGCTCTCTGTTAACTTCTTTACAATCTAGTCTCCAACCTTGAGATTCATCATTTGTTGATCTCTGAAAAGATTAGGTGTTTTTTTTTTTGTTTGTTTGTTTTTTTAATTTAATTTAGGTTGTTTATTTTTCATTTCAATGAACATCTGCAGAGATTTTGGGATTCCATTCATTCATTGTTGCACCCTTCTCCCCGCACAAACCCCTCTCCCCTCCCCCCAAGATTAGGTGTTTTAATGCTTCCAGATCTCTGAGTATGCACTGATGTCTGTAATCATGCCCTTTGTGTGTGTGTGTGTTTGTGTGTAGAAATTCTTCACTTGCACAGACTTCATGCCTTCTCTGAGCAGTCAGTTCTTATACGCCTTGTACATAAGGCAAACCTAGTATTTACTGTACTAACATGTTAGATGTCTATTTCTCTCAGACTAAGAGCTTAAAATCTTGGAGGGCAGAAACAAGGGCTTTTTAGCCTTTCTATATTCAGCATTTCATATCATGAAAGAACATGTAACCAATACATGTTTATTGAATTGAAAGAATTTATGATGACTCCATACAGATACTGTAAAACCCAGTAAGATGAAATTATATAAAAAGTAATAACTTTGGCGAGCTCTGGTGGCCTAGTGGTAAGAAGCTGCACAGCAATCCCAGAGGTCAGGGGTTTGAACCCACCAGATGCTCTGTTGGAGAAGGAGGGGCAATCTGCTCCTGTACCAGTAAGATCTAATTTGATGGTGCACATGCACGCGCGCACACACACCCACATACATATTTAAAAAAAGTAATGACTTCCTACTGAAAGGAAGACCCCACTAACAGAAAAATGGCACACAGTATTTAATAAAATTAATATGAATTTCCAATAAATATGTGAAACGAAGTAGAAAGTTCAATTACTAATATTTAATATACAATACATGCAACTTGAATCTACTAAGAGAAAGATGGGAAATCTCTAATATGATTTATTGCCTCTGAAAACCCACTGGAGGGTCAGTTATGGATCAGTTCAAATCAATGGCCCATAACAACATACAAGATGGTAATTTTTCAGACACATGCTAGTGACACGTGAGTTAAATGAGCCCCCTAGTGATCAGAAAGAGGAACTCAGTTGGCACAAAATTTCTGAAAAGTAGTTTTGTAATGATCTGTATCCAAAGGTTAAAAGTGCATAGCTTCATATTCTAGAATCTGCTCTGGTGAGATAAGCAGACAACTGTGCAAAAAGGGACAGGATGTTGTTGTTGTTATGTGCTGTCGAGTCGTCTGCGACTCATAGCGACCCTATGTACAACAGCCCTAAACCCTGCTCTATCCTGTGCCAATCTCATTGCCTCTGACACACCCATCCCGATTACCCCAGTAACTGGTCTTCCCCTCCTGCGCTGTCCCTCTACTCTACCCAGCATGATGTCCCACTCTAAAGACCTGTCTCTCCTTACAACATGTCCAAAGTATGTCAGACGAAGCCCCAGAATCCTTGCCTCCAAGGAGCAGCCTGGTTTAACCCTCTCTAGGATGAATCCGTTTGTTTTCTAGGCAGTCCATGGTACATTCAATACTCTTCTCCAGCACCACAGCTCAAAGGCATCAATTCTCCTTCTATCCTCCCTAGTCATTGTCCAACTCTCTGATGCATAACAAGTGATTGCAAAAACCATGGCCTGTATCAGGCGCACCTTAGTCTCCAGAGAGACACCGTTGCTCTTGAGTACTTTAGAGAGGTCCCTAACAGCAGACTTTCTCATCGCAATACGGTTTTTGATTTCCTGGCTACTGGTGCCAAGAGTGTTGACCGTGGAGCCGAGCCAACTGAAGCTGTGAACAATCTCAATCTCTTCACCATCCATCCTGATGCTACCGATTGGTCCAGTGGTACTACCTGAGGGTAGGGATCTGAGGGAATCATATGTAACTTTCCGAATAAGCTCATGGAACAGATTAGTGGATGGTAGCAGAGCAGCAACAGCTCTGTGTAGGATGGTGGTGGTGTTAGAACTGAGAGAAGCAGGCATGGGGAGCATGAGACATGTCTTTCTTCATGGGATTTGGTTTTATACTGTAGATGTGGCCAAAGATGACTGTTCTGCCTCAGAAGGTTAGTGGAGGTCAGATTGAGCTTCCCTCACACTAGCCCCACTCACTCTTTCTACACCACTTTAGCCAGAAAGAGATCAATGAAACACACAAGAGAGTTCCAACTAAAAAAAAAAATTCTGTGTGTGTGTGTGTGTATTCACGTGCGTGCCCATGCAGGTAGATACACATACTCACTTTTACGAGAAAAGGACGTTTGCTTTGTAATTCTTATCTACACTGGCATATTCTTCAGCTTGGAAAGACCCAATTAATTTGCAATTACTCTTGAAAGAAATATTTCTTTGATAATTCTAAGCATTTTAAAAAACTAACATTAGTATAAAGAACACTGAATCTCCATGAATTAGAATAAAACCTTATATGATTTATGAATATCAAAATTTCAGATTACCATGTATTCTTCACTTTCTTCTCTATAGTCATCTAATACTTTATCCAGACGTGAGAGTTCTTTACTGATCTCGTCAAGTTCTGCTTGTAAGCTCTTGTATTCCTGGAGGCCAGTGTCGAAACTTTTCTTGTAAAAATGTCTTTGTTGATCCGAAGTGATAGGTGGATATTCCCTAAAAATTGAGAGAAAATGTTACACAGATACACACACTCTCTCTCTCTCTCTCTACTATTAAGTTAATTCAGACTCACAGCAACTCTACAGGAGAGAAGAAACACCCCACCAGGTTTCTAAGCTGTGACTACAGAAGCGGATTGCTACATCTGTTTTCAATGGAAAGGCTATTGGGTTTGAAGCACCAATGTTCTGGTTAACAGTCAAGTTCTTAACTGTGCTGACAAGGTTGCTATGTAGCCTTAGGATAATTTAAAATCCAGTGTTTATTATATGAAAACCAATAAAAATATTTTTTAGAACAAAAAATAATCCAGTATTTCTTCCTCAAAAATAATAAGCTAGTGGAGTAGGGAGAATAAGATTCTCTTGTTGTCACCATGTTTCTTATGGGGGGGAGGGAGAAGTCAGGTTGAGTGCAAAGAAACTATACTAAGAATGAATATACGTTTTATACTACAGTTCAGGTTTGTTGTTGTTTTGCTACACATGCCCACTCAACCCTTGCAACACCCTTAGAAACAATGTTTTGGTTAGCTATTATTTCTAATTTGTATTTTATTCCTCAAAATATTTAGGCATGAAAGGCTAGGTATCATAATGAGCATAGCATGTGATAGTGGATTAAAACAAAACTACGGACAGTCAAAGGAATTTAATCACAACCTTGGCAACAATAGTAAATTATTACTTTAGTTTTTATGAAATTGTGTACCAAAGTAACTGTTATTGAAAAGAAATTGTAAAGACAGAACAGTGTTTATAAAGCATATTTTCACCACTATATTTCTTTAAAAAATAAACAAAGGAAAACACCTCTGATTTGAATGTGGCAGCCTAACGTTAAAGTAACTGTCAAAGGAAAGCCATAGCATTGGTCTAAAAATTTGATAATCTGTAACAACTTTATGTAAAACAGAGTTTTCTCTACTTGTATTTTAATGATCAGAAAGACTTTTTTTTCCTTGGATATAGACTGGAAGAGCCTGGTGAAGTTTATCATCCATGTGGTAGAAAAAGCAGAAAATGACTGCTAGATATGGCTGCAAAAGTATTCTCACCACCTCAATCTGTCATTAGTATGTGACTTAAACATTATTATGAAAGGCTATTAAGGTGGGGGACAGACTGTCTCCAGTCCTGGTTGGCAGAGAAAATGAGATTACGTCATGGACGCAGCTTGGGTGGCCACACTCCAAACCTGGCTGTCCCATGTTATTAACTGGAGTGAGAAAGGCTCCAGCAAGTTCTGGCTTGGTACCTGACCCAGTCCTCCTCCAGCTCATCGCAGGACTCGCCGCCCGTCGTGTAGTCTGTTTCATAGTGGTCTTGCTCTGTTCTCCTTGACTTCCCTGCCCTTCCCTTCGTGGGAGCCCATTTTGAAGGGGTCTGTAAGTCAGCGCTGCTGCTGTAACGAGGCTGTCTGTAGTCATCCACAGGTGAAGTCAGGGGAAGCTCCCGAGCCACCTCCGGCACCCTAAAACAGTGTTTTCCAGTGATTATTCTGCACCAGGACACACTGTAACCATGAGGTACGAGCAACTGAGGAGCTGCCACACGTAGGCGCACCCACTTCAAATTCCTATGCTTAACACTGAGTAGATCCCTCATCTACAGCATTTAATTTAGTACCAGCACAGTCCTAAAATGCATGCCAGCAGCTATAATGCTCATTTTCAACCTTTCTCCATAAAATAAATCAAAAACCTCACTTTGGGAAGGTGCGTACCCAGCCTGTGTGACAGCAGAAGGCTGTCAAGAAATAAAGGTTGTGATTCTTCTCTACAGGTTTTTCCAGTTTCATGAAATGTTAGTGGGGAAGGAGAATACATGACATCTCTGCCTCTGGAAGTTTGACCCTCAGAAGCAAGCTCTTAGTCATATTAACTTTAGACTACATATATCAAGAAATGAAACTTTGTACTGCAATGGGCAAATGTGCTGCCAGGGACCTCTGGAGAGCAAGGATATCACTTTAAAGACTGAGGTGTACTGATCCACGCAGAGGGTTACATGTTGTTGTTATTGTTATGTGCCTTTGAGTCGTTTGCGACTCATAGTGACCCTATGTACAACAGCCCTAAACCCTGCTTTATCCTGTGCCAATTGCAATGCCTCTGACACACCCATCCCAATTACCCCAGTCACTGAATCAATCTACCTCATAGATGGTCTTCCCCTCCTGCGCTGTCCCTTCACCCTCCCAAGCATGATATCCCTCTCCAAGGACCTGTCCCTCCTTGCAACATGTCCAAAGTGTGTCAGACGAGGCCCCAGAATCCTTGCCTCTAAGGAGTAGCCTGGTCTAACCCTCTCCAGGATGAATCTATTTTCTTGGCAGTCCATAGCACATTCAATACTCTTCCCAAGCACCACAGCTCAAAGGCATCAATTCTCCTTCTATCCTTCCTAGTCATTGTCCAACTCTCTGATGCATAACAAGTGATAACAAAGACCATGGCCTGTATCAGGCGCACCTTAGTCTCCAGAGAGAAACCGTTGCTCTTGAGTACTTTACAGAGGTCCCTAACAGCAGACTTTCCCATCACAGTATGTTTTTTGATTTCCTGGCTGCTGGTGCCAAGAGTGTTAACCATGGAGCCGAGCAAACTGAAGCTGTGAACAATCTCAATCTCTTCGCCATCCATCCTGATGCTACCAATTGGTCCAGTGGTGAGAATCTTTGTCTTCTTGACATTGAGCCTCAGTCCATACTAAAGGCTGCAGTCCTTGACCCTCTGCAGCAAGTGCATGAGGTCCTCCTCAGTTTCAGCAAGCAGGGTTGTGTCATCTACATAACGCAGATTGTTAATAGATCTTCCACCAATCTTGACGCCACACTTCTCCTCATAGAGCCCAGCCTCTCTGATAATCTGCTCTGCATACAGGTTGAAAAGGTATGGAGATAGAACACATCCCTGGCATACACCTTTCCCAATTCTGAACCATGCAGTGTTACCCTGCTCTGTTCTGACGACTGCCTCTTGGTCCAAGTATAAGTTTTGCATTAGCACGATTAAATGTTCTGAGATTCCCATTCTTCTCAGAGTCAGCCACAGTTTGTTATGATTCACACAGTCAAACGCCTTTGCATAATCAATGAAACACAGATAGACATTCTTCTGGTATTCCCTGCTTTCAGCTGAGATCCATCTAACATCAGCTATAATATCCTTAGTACTATGACCCCTTCTAAACCTAGCCTGGACTTCTGGCAATTCTCTGCTGATGTGCTGTTCCAGTCGTTTTTGGATAATCTTCAGTAGAATCTTGCTTGCATGTGAAATCAACGATATTGTTCTATAATTTCCACACTCTGTTGGGCCACCCTTCTTTGGAATGGGAACAAATATTGATCTCTTCCAGTCAGTTGGCCAAGTGGTTGTTCTCCAGATTTCTTGGCACAACTTGGTGAGTATATCCAGGGCAGCATCTGTTTATGTCAATTGGTATACCATCTATTCCTGGGGCCTTATTTTTTGCTATTTTCTTTAAAGCAGCTTGAACTTCTTCCTTCATCATCATAGGCTCTTGCTCAAATGTTATTTCATTAATAACATTACATAGTCTAGTAATATTATCAGGAGGGGTCATTCCTTGGAAAAAAGGACATCATGATTGGGAAAGCAAAGAGTCAGCGAAAGACAGGAAAATTAACAACAAAATGCATTGGCACAATAATTACAATAGGCAGATGGTATTGTGAGGATGGCACGGGACTAGGCAAGGCTTCCTCTACTGAACAAAGTACCCCTATGAGTCAGAGCTGATGCCAGTGCCTAATAAGAACATAATAATCAATTCTCTTCTTTAAATAACAATCCTAGGAGATCTAAAAATAAATGTAAAAACTTTATACTACAATGAACTGAAGAATTCATTAAGGATTCTTTTAAAATGGCTGTATTATTCCTTAAGTCATATAGACTGAATGAAAAGAAGGGATTCCATTACATGTACCATTTTTCTAATGTAATTGTTTCATACTGTATCAAATTTCTAATTGTACATAAAGTTTCTGTTACAAATACAAAACTAAATCTAACAGGAGGATAAAATTCCAGGTGCTGTTATGTAGTAACTGTAAATTGTTACTGAGTAATAGAAAAGCAAAACTTAAGTTTCTTCTGTAGTGGAGCTAGTGTAGGACAGAAACAGAAAAGAAATGAAGACCAAAGAAAGCTGAAAGGTTGCCAAGTCTCAGATTTGTTATTAAAAATAAAACAAAACAAAGAATGTTGTCATTGAATCAATCCTAACTCATTATAACCTCTAAATTGTCTACTTAAAATGTCTGGAGAAAAAAAAAAAAGGGTCCAGTTCCTTTTTGTTCTCCCTTACTGCTTACAATTTATAGCTAATGCAATCTTGAGTTCTATCTATCAGGCATATTCTGCTCTCTATATGATCCTGAACCACTTGATTATATATAACTGTTGTTGGAGCTGTGGATTTCCAATCACATCTATTAATTTTTTGTGGACTCCTAAAGCTTTTTTTTGGGTGGGGTGGTATTTTTCTAAGTTTATTCAAGATAATGTAGTTTTGTATGCTATGTTAATGCTGCTTCTGATAGAAGGAAAATGTGACTTTCTCTATGAATTAATGATTAACAAGTTCCTAGACATGCTGCCAAAATGGCCAGGTACTATATGCCTCTGCTTTAAGCAGAACACATGAAGCCAGGAGGCAGAAGAGGGGGAAGTTAATGAAGAAAACAAACTGGGGGCAGGGTGAAGATAGGGAACTAAAACACAAAAAGAGCTAATTAAGAGCACGCCTCTTGCCTTAATTTAATGATTTTTGATATGGATATTAAAAGGCCTTACACATTGGAAATTTCCTACCTCTTCCTACATGCTCCAGCATAAAAGCTAAAAAGAAAATCCATAGTATGTAAAGTATATGCAGTAAAGGGCTAAGGAAAATACCAACTAGAAGAGACCAAAAGGGCACCATATGCCCAAAATTAAAGATGAGAAGGCAGGAAGGGACAGGGAATCTAGGAGGAGGAGGTGGAGGACTAGAAAGAGGAGGAGAGTTAGAGCATACTGCGTTGAGTGAAACCAAAATCAGAACAATCTGTATTATGACTGGACAAGTAGTGTCACTTCCCTTACATGGCTTCAGGCCTCTCTTTGCTCACAGACACATGCATTTCTGACAACTTCCAAAACTTACCCTTTTATAGTTTTTATAGTTATTTATTTTTATTCTTTTAGTTTGTAACTGTTCCTTCTCCCTGCCCCCTCCTGTATACACACAGCTGCTCCTATCTTATCCCGACTCTCAGTGTAGTTATTATGCATACTTCCCACCCCTATTAAATTGAAATCTAGATGAGAACATGATACTCCCAGGGGTACCTAGCCACTGGAGTGCAAGACAATTACTGAACTGACTCCCCAAGGATCCTCTTTTTCTGGTAACAGTGAAGGAGGAGAAACCACTACATCATCAACACTGAGGCCATGACCAAATGATGTCAATTATTTTACATGCCACTTTAGAATTGTCAATGCTCTCTGGGGTATACCCAAACCAAGACAATCGGGGAACTCCATCATTCGAGTCTCTGGGATGATACCTGAGAGTCACTCAAAAAGAGCCCAACAGAATCCTACTAGTAGATTTGGCACAGAAATTTTGGGGAAAGAATTGTTTTCTGACCCTTAAACTAAAAGAGTAACAGATCAATATTCAATATGGCAATGGTCAATTGGTATGCTGTGAATTCCTGGAGCCTTGCTTTTTGCCAATTCTTTCAGAGCAGCTTGAACTTCTTCATCACCACAGCCTCTGGCTCATATGTTGTTTCATGAAATTCTGTGTCTGCCAATTCCTTTTGGTACAGTGACTCTGTATATGTCTTCATTTTCTTTTAATGCTTCTTGGATCATTTAATATTCTGCCCAAAACATCCATAAATATTGCAACTTGTAGCTTGAATTTGTTATTCAATTCCTTTAGCTTAAGAAATGCTAAGCGATTTCAGCCCTTTTGATTGTCTAACTCCAGCTCTTTGCATATTTCATTATATTTTACTTTGTTTTTCCAAGCTGTCCTTTGAAATCTTCTGTTCAGCTCCTTTTTTTTTTTCTTTTTTGTTCAGCTCCTTAATTTCTTCCTTTTGCTTTGTCTTCTTAGTGCTCTAGTGCAATATTCAGAGTCTCATCTGACATCCATCTTGGTCTTTTCTTCCTCCTCTGCCTTTGTAATGACCTTTTGCATTCTTCATGGATGATATTCTTGATATCCTCTTACAGTTCATTTGGTCCTCATGTGGTGTTCAAGACCTCAAACCTGTTCCTGAGATGGTTTTGAAACTAGAGTGGGATAGATTTAAGGTCAAATTTTGGTTCCTATACATTTGACTTAATTTTCCTCAGCTTCAGCTTGAACTTGTATTTGTCTGTTCCACAATCAGCACCTGATCTAGTTTTCACAGCTGATATTGAGCTTCTCCAGGGATTGTTTTCCACATATATAAAAGATTTGATTCCTACTTGATGGCACATAAAAACAACCACATTCAATGTGGACAGCTATCTAATATGCACAGAGAATAAGGTCAGCAAAACAAGAGATGAGAGCATGAAGGAAACCTGGATCATGCTATATCTAAATCTAGATTAATCCTTGGGTCTTATATGAACCAGTGATTTCCTCTTTTTGCTTAAAATCAAGGTCTCTCTCATTCTCTTAACCTGCATAAAAGTCCTCTATCAGCCTCGTGCTAACTAGCAATTGTCTCACTCTAAGAAGGCAGTTGACCTTGATAACTTTATATTTGAGAACACTCATCTCTTTAGGTCTTAATTTATAAAGGCTAATTCACTCTGGGTGTGAGCAGGGAGTGTACCTGTGATGCAATCAATCACTTTTATATGGCCTTTCACGACCCAGTCTTGCAACTCCTATAAAATGCTTGGGTAGGACTATGCAAATAATCAAGATTCTTGTAGCTAATCAAGGGAATTAAGCACTTGCTAATATGGCAAATTGTTGTTATGTACATTGAGTTAGAACCAACATAGAACCCCTTGTGGAGGTGAGACTATGCAATTAATGTACATGGACACACCCTCTCCAAAAAATTAAGGAGACTGACCTGTTTAGCCATCTTGTTAGACTTACTAGAAAGCCAATGTCAGAGAGAGCATCTCCTAACACTAAGAAATTATGGAACACTGTGCTGAGAACCTTCTAGATTTAAAAGAGAAAGAAAGAGCACATTGTCTACACCAAAGAAGTACAAGACCGCAAGAAGCAGCAGCAGAGAAATGGTGACAGCTGAACGAGAATGTTGGAATGGCACCCTGGGCCCCTGGACCACAGAGCAAAGTGGCTCCAATGGGCTTGACAATTCACTGACGGAGAGAGCTGAACACCCTGAGAGATTAGGGGCCCAAGAGCTAGAGTCCTGCTTGCAGACAAGGCAGAGAAGAGATTGTCTTGGCCAAAGAATTGTATCCTGAGTTACTCCTGATCCTGAATTATAACCTCTTATTTCCCTAATGAACCCCATGGTGAAATTTCACTTCACATACTTTGAGTATGCTGTCAGAAGGTGCCAGTCCTTGGGCAAAGGAACCATGCTTGCAAAAGTCTTTAAGCCTGGACAGCTTTAGATCATGGGAACATTCAACTCCTGACATTTTAACACATAAAGGTTAATTCATATTAGCTTTTGTTTCAGTGAAATAAAGACCCTCAATGAGATGGACTGGCACAGTGATTGAAATAATTGGGTTGAGCATGGAAAATACTGAAATGCAGTAAACTGATGTGGAACTGCAGGAAAGTCAAGGTGGATTCAGAAAATAATACAGGGAGGTTGCTGATGTCAGATGAAGTTCATCGATAATAGAAAATAGCAGAAAGATCTTCACCTGTGTTTCCATGATTATGCAGAGGCTGTGTGGATTATAAAATACTTACATCATAATTATAAATAACTGTGAAAAATATGAATTCCAGAAAACGTAATTGTATTTTTGTGGAAAATGTAGAGAAACAAAAAAAGCAGTGGGTAGAATATAGCGTGGTTTAAAATCAGGAAAGATACATGTTAGGATTGTATTTATTCCAGATGTACCCATCACCTGCTCCACAGGAGGAGGGGCAATCTTCTTCCATGGGATTAACTACCTCTGAAAACCTGCTGGAGGGTCAGCTATGGGTCAGTTCCAACCGATGGCACACACAACAACAACAACATACAGAACAAATTAGCCCAATAATACAAGCAGGTGGACTAGAGGACAAAGATGAAGGCGGCATCAGCATTAGAGAAAGACTTGTCAATAACTTGCAGTGTTCAGCTAGTACAACCTTGCTCATTGAAAACAGACAACTTGAAACAATGATGAGGATCAAAGACTGGAATGTTTTTTGTGGTCTTTTAAAAAATTCCTTCTTTTAATCAAGACATTCCTCTAGGTCGTATAGCCCTGGTGTACAAGTTGCCGTACCGTGTTCACTTTTGGTTGCTGTGAGGCTGAACACCGTGACACTGATGTGTCAAATGCGTTAATGGGGCGAGCTCTGGTGGCCTAGTGGCAGGAAACTGCACTGCAATCCCAGAGGTGCGCGGTTCAAATCCACCAGATGCTCTGCTGAAGAAGGAGGAACAGTCGCCTCCTGTACCAGTCAGATCCAATTTGACGGTACACACATAAAAAAAAAATGCGTTAATGGTTGGCTACCCAATGGGGACAGAGTGTGGGTAGAGCTCCCCAATTAAAACAAGCTGGGAAGGAGGAGTGGCATCCACTTCCGTAATAGCTTGCCTCCGTAAACCTTATGAACCTGGAGAGAGGATGAAAGGCACCCAAGTGTCGGGGACTCTCCTTCATAGGATCACTATGAGTCGCCCGAGACTCAATGGCACTTAATAACAACAACAACAATCAAGTTTTGGATCTCAGCCATTTTTTTCCACTCTCAACTCCTTACAAATAGTTTTTAATATGAAATTAAAATATAAAGCCTCTGTTTCCATCTAAAAATATTCAACACTTCATGAATTTATGTATCATCCTTGTGCAGGGGCCATGCTCCTGAAGAAAGCACAAGATTATAAAGTCTGGTGGTTGTTTTTTTTTTAAGAATTATTTGAATTTTATTTGATGCTGAAGCATTTATCCCTTAGCTGTAAGTTTTTGTTTCTTCAGTTTCTTCTGGAAGATCTTTTTTTTCTGGGCAACTTCCTCTTCTGGTTTAGGAACAATCTGTTTCTTTTCAGTAAGGATAATCTCAGTATGGGGGCGAGAGGCAGTAGCACATCTTGAGAGCTTAGTTCACCTGGAAGTACTCAAGGACCAGAGAACTGACATCTAAACCCTTAAGTTCAGCATTATTCTCCGCATTTTTAAGCATATGCAGCAAAAACTTAGCACTCTCTTTTTTTGGCCACCTCCACTGTTTGGCCTGGGCACATCTATCAACTCCATCACTGTAATGTCTGAATGGCACACTCTGCTTTTGCAGTGACACCTTTCAGATGTGGCTTTCTGGATATGCATACATGTGATGGCCTGGGCAGTTTCCTGGGTGTTCTTAAAATGGACCCGGAGATTTGAACCTCTTGACTTCCATGATTCTGTGGGATTTCCAGGACAAGCAAGCAGCAAACCAGTGTGGAAGGTGACCTGAGTTGCTCATGTAAAGAAGGAGCAAGACTATAAAGCCTTAAGTATGAATTATACCTCAAAATAAGGGGAAGGGGGGAAATCCTCACTATTGGACCAACAGGCAACACCATGACAAATTGAGAAAAGACTGGTGTTGTCAATGATTTAATTTTACAGAAAGCCGTAATCAGTACCCATGGAAGCAGCAGTCAAGAAAATAATTGGGCAATTTTGCTGCAAAGTACCTCTTCACTGTGCTAAAAAGCAAGATCACACAAACAAATATGGTGCATCAGATTAAAGTCATGATATTTCCAAGTGCCTCATCAGTGCAAAAGGCAGACAATGAATAAGGCAAACTGAACAACTGATGCGTCTGAATGGCGGTTTTGGCAAAGAATGTTATAAATACCATGAACTGTCAAAAGACCAAACAAATGCGTCTTGGATGAATTCAGTGCAGCTAGAATGTTCCTTAGAAAAGAGGATGACAAGACTTTCCTAACATACTTTGGGCATGATACCAGTAAGAACCAGTTCCTGGAGAAAGACACGACTGGTAAAGTGGAAGATCAGAAAAGAAAGGAACAACCTTAAGGAGATGAGCTGATACAATGACTGTAATAATGTGGTCCAGTCCGCTGCTGTGAATATGCCACAGAATCAAGTGTTACTAGGAGCCAGACTCAACTTGATAGCATCTAGTATAAAAAAGGCAGTCCATCGGTCTGTTTTCCAAATCATATTCCAATATAATAAAGCTTTCTGTCTTCAAATTAAACTCGCACATTTCATTTAACACAATCTAATTCCCTAAAAGAAAGAGTTTTTTGGTTTCCAAAGTGATTTTGTGTTCTGTGGAACTGACTTCAACTCATAATGCACCCACATGGTACAGCCAAACTGTTCCCATAGAACCTTCTAGGCTGCCAAGGTTGCAGAAGGAGAGTCTTGTCTTCTTCCTGTGGAGAAGCTGGGTGGCTTCACACTCCAACTTTTCGGCTAACATTCAAGCACTTAAATCATGCCACCAGAGTGACACACAAATGTGCATGTCCTTTTGTGCTGTCAAGTTGGTTTTGACCCACAGCCACCCTACAGAACAGCAGTAGAACTCTGAATGCTTTCATCTTTATGGAAACAGATGCCACATCTCTCTCTCTCTCTCAGAATGACTGGTGGATTCAAAACACTGGTTGTCAATTCGCAGGCAAACACTTAACTACTACACTACCATGGTTCTAAAATCAACTATGTCCAAAACAAAACTTAGAGGTGTTATCAGCTGTATGTTCCCTTGAAATATGAGACAAAAAACAGAAATCTGGCATGAGACTCCAGAAATACCGACTTCAAAATGAGGTTGAAGTTATTAAAAGAAAAGCAGATCGACACAGTTTATCAATGAGCAAATTCTCTCGTCTATAAAGAAATCTAATAAACTTAGCTCTGCTACCAAATCAGTAACTTTCTGTCATTCTCATAACTAAAACTCAAAACCAGAAACCGAAAACATAGCACACACAGAGTCACATTCCGAGAGTGAATAAGCCAACACTATTTCTCTATTTAACCAGCTAGCAGGTAAGGGAGAAGATCCCTACCATCAGTCAGAACCCCACCCACCTCCTCCTAGGCTGCCAACTAGCCCCAGGCTTCTACCTGCAATGCAGAGGTAAGTCTCCAGAATTAGTACATGCTGTTGGAAATTTTAAAAGCAATTAATGGCATAAGATAGTACTTACGGTGTTGATTTGAAGGAAGAATCTGGGTAAGATCGTTTGTCATTTATTTTACCATTGGAGGAGTAAGCCATGGGACTGTCAACTCTGTCCACATAGTCAGATGGTGGTGGCGGCATGTCTGGTGTGCCTGCAGAAACATTTTTAACCTAAAGAAACATCCGCAAGAGACATAGATATTATTTAGCCTATAATGTAAAGAGTGAAGACATGCAAATAAAATGTCTATTTTATACAAAATTGTTCTATTTATTTCATTCATTAAATATCAGTAACCTGAAAGGATTGTCTTTTTTATCAAATTACAATTTTTCCAGACATAAAAGGGCCTGCTGTTAGTTTAACCAGACTAGAATGAATTACAAAGAAGGAACAATCTTAATCTCCTGATTTTCATCTTGCTATGACTAGGTATACTAATTCTCTAAACTCATTACCCTTTCTTCCTTCCCTCTTATCAGAAAATCTGCTTGTTTTTATCTAAGGATAGGTAGCTGCTAAGCTCAGGCAGGAGAGTGATTAAGAAATGACCATAAGCTGTTTCAGCTCACAAGCAGTAGGTCAGGATTTTTGTTCGTTTTGGAACTTTTTAAAAACAGGGCCCAAGAATATGCATTTCTTTTTT